GTACTCCCCTCACCCAACCCCCTAAGTTGCCACATGCCTCCCCCCACCACCCCCAGGGAATAAAGGGCATCTGTGCGTAAGGGGCATGATTCAGACTCAGGGCTGGAGAGTAAAAGATTCCAGACTTCAGAACCAGCAGCACAGAGCTGGGCCAGACCCAGGGAACTTTGTGGCTCTAGACCAGGGGTTGGTAAACGATAGCCAGGGCCAAACTTGGCCTGCTATCTGTTTCCGCGAATGAAGTTTTATGGAAACACAGCCATGCTCACTGATTTTCATATTGTCTATGGCTGCTTTTGGGCCAGCTATAGCGACCAAGTTGTGTTTGCAACAGAAACAAAGACAAAAATATTTACTACCTGGCTTTTTGCAGAAAAAGTTTGCTAACCCCAGCTTTAGACCATGATGTTCGTCTTGAAGAACGGACAGAACTTGGGTTGGTGCAAAGAAAAGACATTTCAGAGTGGAGAGACCCAGAGTAAGGGTGTGGTGGGGAAGTAGGCGTGGTTGTCCTTGGGAGTAGGGTGTGGACCAGTAGAGCCAGAGCAGAAGCCTAGGGAGAAGCAGAGGGGAGAGGGGCACCAAACAGTGGGCGAGAGATCACCTATGGGGAGCCCTGAATGCCAGGATGAGAAGTTTGGATGTTTAGGGTCTGGGCATCAAGGAAATTAGGAAGGTGTTTGAGCAGGGAGGTGGTGCGGACGAAGTGGAGTTTTAGGAAGGATTTGGCCAGAGTGTAAATGGTGAAGAGGGAATTGAAGTTAGCGAAGACCGAGCTCTGGATGAGAGTGGCAGAGGCCACCTGTGGATGAGGGGACTGGAATGAAGTGACATTTGGAAGGAAAATGGACAGGCGGGGTGTTGAGGGAAGAGGAGGAGGAAAACCATAGCAGCTGCCATTTACCAAGGGCTGTGTGTGAGGCTGGTAAGATGCCCTCTTACCCAGTGGGGAGGTCTGGAAGGGTGGAGAGCAAGATTCCAGTGGATGATTTGTCAAGTAGGCTCGGCAGTCATCCCCACGAGGTCCTGACTGCAGCCAGGGACATGGATGAGCCTTTGGAGTGAAAGATGGAGAACTTGAAAAGACACAAGCCTAGAGATTCCGATGTTGCCGGGGAGGCACCCCCACACAACGGCCATTAAAAAGTTCCCCAAGTGATTCTAATACGCAGCCAGGCTTGAAAACAACTGGAGTGTAGGTGAGGAGAACAGAGGGTGGAGGTCGAGCCTTGGGCCTGCCCAAAGGTGGGAGCAGAAGGAACCAGAGAGGGTGGAAGAAAGGTGGGAGAATCTCAGGAAAGATGAACAGCATCTGAGTTATGCAGGGAGGACAGAAAGTCAGGCACTTCATTAGGACTGGCCGGTCCCTTTGACCTTTGACTCCGGGCTGTGGACATTGGTGGTGGTGAGGGGGAGTGCGTGGGTTGTAGGAAAGTGAGGAACAGCAGGACCCTAGACTGTTCTTTGAGGCTTCAGCCGGGTAAGTGACTAGGTGAAGAGGGAAGACTGGGGAGACGTGGTTGCAGGCTTGGAGGCTCAAAGCTTAGAACGGGATAGAACCCAAAACACAGCAGGAGGACGCATCTTACCCAGCTGCTGATGACGTCAAAGAATGGCGGCTCCCGATTGGGTAGCCGAAGGGAGGTGGGGCTTAAGGCATCTGCTCTGCAATAGACGCTAGGCGAGGACTAGGTAAGGAATTGCAGTTCCGCCCCGCGCTCCCGGCGGAGCCCCCCACCCCGACCTGATCCCCTTTTTGGCGCAGGTGGAGTTCTACTTCCTGTCCCAGTACGTGTCGCCGGCCGACTCCCCGTTCCGCCACATTTTCCTGGGCCGCGGAGACCACACGCTGGGCGCGCTGCTCGACCACGTGCGGCTGCTGCGCTCGGGCGGCTCGGGAGACGCAGGGGCCGCCTCCTCCCGGGTGGCTCCCGGCCTGGGCTTCCAGGAGGGCCGCTTCCGACGCCAGCTGGCCCTTCTCACCTGGACGCTGCAGGGGGCCGCCAACGCACTTAGCGGGGATGTCTGGAACATCGATAACAACTTCTGAGGTCCTCGGGGCGGGGTGGGGGGCGGGTGTTGGCCTTTGCCCGGAGCTCCTGTTCTCCCGTTAGAGTGATTTCTGGGTGATGGAGGTGCCTAGTACCAAACTGTCGTTGCTGACCGATCTCTCATTAGCCCTTCCCATCTCTGCAAGGGGCCCAGCCAAGATGCCAGCGCAGACATCCACACCCGGGCCCTGCAGTGTAGGTGTAGGTGAGCGGTGCCTTCCACAGTGGGCCGGCCATACTGTCAGCCAATCTGAGAGCACCCGCTTCCTCATCACACAGCCCCTTCCCCTTCGGGAAAGGGGTCCCCCACACCTAGTGAAGCCTCTGGAAGGTTTCCTAGGCCCAGGGATGTGGCCAGCCCCCTTGGTGGGAGAATGGCTGGAATCACAGCCTATAGCCCCAACAGGTGGTCTGTGGCGGGAGGGGCTGGGGTTTGGACCTCAATAAACCACCTGGTGGCATCTGTTGTATATAAACACCTTTATGCTTCTTCCTTACCCTCAGCCATCCCTCCCTTGAAACGGACAGAAGGGCCAGAGAAGATACAAGTAGGGATGCTGTCTCTCCACATCTGAGGAGGCTGCAGCCTCCTCACTGTCACTCCCAGGGCAACTGCATAAATCCTAGGGCTGGGCTTTGGGCTCCTGGGTCCTCTTTCGCTCCCAATATGGCATGACAGGTCCTACCCTGGTTCCAGGATGAAACTCTGCCTCTCCCCCTGCCCCCTCCTTGAGGCCCCTCTGAGCCTGACTGGGTTCTCAGGAGCCTGGACCAGGGTCAGAAACCTCCTCAACTATTTGCTTCTCTGACATACTGTTCAGAACACATTTCCCAAAGTGGTTTCCCAAATTGGTTTCTCAGCCCTTCACTTTGTCCATTTGCTCCTTGTAGCACACAGAATAATGGTCTGGAAAAAGATGTTCACGTCCTAATACCCGAAACCTGTGAGTGAATGTCACCTTACACAACAAAAAGGACTTTTTGGATGTGATTAAATTGAGGATCTTGAGATGGGGAGTGTTTTGAGCTGAAATATACCCCCCCCCCCCCCCCGCCAAATCCATATGTTGAAGCCTGACCGTCAGTACCTCAGAGTCTGTATCTGGAGATCAGGCCTTAAGTTCAGATGAGGCCAGTAGGGTGAGCCTAATCCAATCTGATCAGTGTCCTTCTAAGAAAATTTGACACAAGGGTGTCTGGATGGCTCAGTCAGTTAGATGTCGGACTCTTGACCTCAGCTCAGGTCTTGATCTCAGGATCCTGAGTTCAAGCCCTACACTGGGCTCTGCACTGGGTGTGGAGCCTACTTAAAAAATAAATAAATAGGGGCGCCTGGGTGGCTCAGTTGGTTAAGCGTCTGCCTTCGGCTCAGGTCATGATCCCAGGGTCCTGGGATGGAGCCCCGCATCGGGCTCCCTGCTCCGCGGGAAGCCTGCTTCTCCCTCTCCCACTCCCCCTGCTTGTGTTCCCTCTCTTGCTGTGTCTCTCTCTGTCAAATAAATAAATAAAATCTTTAAAAAATAGTAATAAAATAAATAAATAAGTAAATGGGGGCACCTGGGTGGCTCAGTCAGTTGAGTGTCTGCCTTCAGCTTATGATCTCAGGGTCCTGGGTTTGAGCCCCACATCAGGCTCCCTGCTCAGTGGGGGGCCTGCTTCTCCCTCTCCCTCTCCCTGCCGCTCCCCCTGCTTGTGCTCTCGCTCTCGAGTAAATAATTAAATTTTTAAAAAAAAAAAAAAAGGACACAGAGAGACACCAGAGATGTGTATGCACAGGGGAGCCACAGAGGCTTCAGGGGAAATCCAATCTGTTGACACCTTAATCTTGAACATCTAGCTTCTAGAACTGTGAGAAAATTAATTTTGGCCATTTAAGCCTCCCCCCCTTCTGTGCAGCCCTAGCAAACTAATAGGGAGATTATCCTGGACTGGGGGAGGGGGGACGTGTAATCACTAGGGTCCTTTCAAAAGGAGGCAAGAGGAGCAGAGGTGGATAATGGAGATGTGACAGCAGAAGCAGAGAACAGACTGAGTCTTATCTTGCTGATTTTTGTCCCCAGTCAACAACCTGCCAGTGTCACTGGCTGCCCCCTTCCTTTCTTCTCCCTTGCCCTGCATCTGAAAAAGGGCTGGACACATACCTTTTGAGGATCCTCTCCTTTTCCTGTGCCTTAGTTTCTCCTGCCTGGTTAAGTTGAGGTAATGTCAGGCAATGCCATTTCCCCCCATCTTGGCAGGGGACCTTGGTGTTTCTGATGCACTGGAGCTGAAGTCTTTTTTCTTTTTTTAAAGATTTTATTTATTTATTTGAGAGAGAGAATGAGATAGAGAGAGCATGAGAGGGAAGAGGGTCAGAGGGAGAAGCAGACTCCCAGCTGAGCAGGGAGCCCGATGCGGGACTCGATCCCGGGACTCCAGGATCAGGACCTGAGCCGAAGGCAGTCGCTCAACCAACTGAGCCACCCGCAGGCGCCCGAGCTGAAGTCTTAAAGGGAGAAACAAAATAAGGCAGATAAAGGGTCAAAAAGCAGAAAAGGATTCTGGGTATTGGAAGCATCTAGGCAACCCTGGTGAGAGGCTCTGATGGCTCAAGACTGTGACACTGGATGTCTGCAGTAGGTGGGATCAGGCAGGATTTGTTTGTTTCTCTGTGGTTTAAGTACATCAGTTTAGGGGTAGGACCCTATGTGGGGGGCTAAAGGGGCCCTTAAAAATCTGCTTGCCCAATTCCCTCATTTTAGAGGTGGAACTAGAACCTCAGAGAAATTCAATGACTTGCTCAAGGTCACACAGTTTTCCTGGTGTGGCACCAGGACCAGAACCCAGGTCTTCTGTATCCTCACTGGGCCCCTTGACTGCCCCCCCATTCCTGGGTCCCCTGCGGCTGGGAGGAGGAACTGGAGGAAAGAAGTGGGAAGAAAGGGGCTGCTCCCTCCATTTCTCAGTTTAATTTTAAAAATTTATTTTATTCAATTTGGAAAATGAATACAAATCCCTGGGTGCTTGGGGGAGGGCGGCTGGGCAGGAGGAAGAGGAGGAGGAACTGAGGTGAGGCATGAGCATCAGAGTGGCTGTCTCATGTGCACATCCAAGTCCCTGCCCCAGGAGGTGGGGGGAGGTTGAGCAGGGAGCTCAGGTCCGAAGGAACACCATGGTGAGGAGTCCTGGAGAGGGGAGAGAGGACAGCAAGCTGGTCGTGAGCAGCGCTGGGGCTCTGCTAGCCTTCCTCCTGGGCCCCCACACCCCTGGCCACTACTGTGCTCACCCAAGATGTACGCTGCCACCAACTTCTGTCCCAGGGAGACGTGCAGGATTTGGGGCAGCTGGCTGCCAAGCTCGTCCTGGAGTGGGAGCAGCAGGAAGGCCACAGAGACTATGCCCGTCAGCAAGAAGAGGAGGAAGGAGCTGGTGGCCAGTTGTGGGGGGTGGTCTGGGAAACAAGGCTCATCAGGAGCTCCACCCCCCTCCTGCCCAGCCCAGGGTCCTCCAGGGAGGAAGCTGAAGATGGGAGGTGTATTTTTATTGCCCTCCAGGGGGCATACTGCAAGTGTCCCCTCCTCCCTGGAGCCTCTGTCCCCATGGCCACGAGAGACCCTTCCCCCTCCGGTCCCTCAGCACTTTTTTCTCTTCACCCTGCCTGCAGTATTGGCTCCTGTGTACATGTCCATCAGGCAAGGGACTCTCTCTCCCATATGCAGCCCACAACTTGGTATGGGTTTCTTATGGAACTGAGCTGAGCTGGTACATGATGGGAAGTACTGAAGTTAGAGCTAAGGAAGAACTTTTCCCTCTAGGTAGAAGCCAGAAACCAGGGAAACTACAAAGTCTGCTTTTTTGCCTAACCTGATATAAAATCTGAACTCCTAGGAATGCTTCTACCAAAAAGCGAAAGACAGAACCAGAAGACCCCTTCATCTCCAACTGAGCCCATCTCTAGAGTAATGCTCAAGAACTCAAGAATTCCCATCCCCCAACTCACTCTCTGGGAAGTGTCTGGCCGTGGGTGGTGCTGTCCAGGAAGGAGGCCCTGGGTGGGGTGTTGGGTCAGGCTGTCCCTGAAGCTCAAGGGGGTAGGCTGGGGCCCTCAGAACCGAGGTGATGTCCTTGCGCCCCACCACTCGACCCTCAGCTCCCTCCTCAGACAGCTCAATGCGGAAGCGGTCCTGGACGTCATAGTGGCTGGGAATGGGGGCCACGTGGCGAATCACACTGGTCCCAAAATAGGAGAGAGACCCATTGAGAGGAAGTGAGTAACAGGCAGTGATCCAAGTGGATCCAGGCCCCGCCTCCCAGGAGCCTTTCCCTTAGGGATGTAGACAGAGGTGGGGAAAAAGGTTGCCAAGAACCAGGTCTGAGCCCTGTTGACACGGGCACGGTAATTCAGACAAAGGTGGCAGCGACCCCTGGCTTCCCGGAGTCCCCTCCACCCTCCTCACTCACATGTCAATGCAGGATTGAGGTTTCACATATCCTTCTGCGTCAAACACCGTGTATTTCGCAGGTGCTGTGCACAGGACTGAGGGGTAAAGGCACACACAGACCCGACTATTGCTTCAGAGACAAGTTTGCCGGTGGAGGGACATTAGAGTCCCCCTTCCCTTCTACCCCAGGGCTGGACATGACTCTTCCAGTCCGCCAAGGTTGACTATCTGACCCCACTCATCTCACTCCTCCAGCCCACACAGCCCCGCAGTGTTCTGCCGCCAGACCCAGATCCCTGGCATGAGGCACCCAGCCCTTCACCTCGGAAGCGAAGCGCAGCTCCCGTGGGGTTATAGAGGGTCAGCAGCTGCCGGGGTCCGCTCCGCTGGTCCGCCCTGAATACTAGGTCCGGGGGAAAGACGAGGACCGGGACAAGTCCCGAGGGAGGAGGGGCGCCCCGGGACCCCCGCCCAGGAGCCCCCGGGCCCACCAGCTCCTGGTCCTGGGGCGCCCCACGGCGCATGCAGGCTGTGGACGGTGGACATACGAGGGCAGAGCTCAGGGGACAGGGCCTGGAGTCTAGAGCTGGGGGACGACAGGGGAGAAAGGGATCGGAATGAGATCGGGGGGCAGGGCCTGGTCTGATGCTGCCGCCGCCGCGTCGGAACCCCGCTAGATGAGGCTCCCCCAGACCAGGCCCAAGCCCCCCAAACCCTTCCCTTCTCCAGCTCTGCCCGGGGTCCCTTTAGGCCCCGCCCCAAGCCCGACCTCATGGTCACGCCCACCCCATAAACCCTGCCCCTAGCTGCTCCCAACCCGGGCCTTGTCTCCAGGCCCGGCTCCCGATCTCCAAAAGCCCCGCCCGCCCCACCGCAGGCCCCGCCCCTTCCGGGCGTCCCTGCTCTCCGGCCAGACCCCGCCTGCCTCAGCGTCCCCCTCCGGAACCGCCCCTTCTCTAATCTCTCCAGAGACCTTTATCTGTGCCTCCAACCTCTCCCTGAGCTCGGCGAGCAGCTCCTTCGTGCCTCAGCCTGCGAACGGCCGCTCGTGCTGTGAGGCTTACCTTCTGGTCACTGCACCTGCCCATCAACTTTTGGCCGGACCGAGGCTGCCATCTTCCCGAGAGACCATTTCTACACTTCCGCCGTACGGCCTCTGTCATTGGCTAGGGCGGCCTCGTTTCCGCCGTCAGTTTACGCCGATTGGTGAGTTTAAAGACGTGATTGGCTTGATCCCAGCGGCGTAAAACTTTACGGGCGACTCCGGCCAGAAAGCTCTGCTCTGAGTAACTCGGGGGGACCGGTGGAGGCTGGGAGCTGGGCATTGTTCCTCCCCACTGAGACCTCCAAGTCACTAGAATCACATACCAAAGGGAAGCCCTCTTTCTTTATTTTAATCCCGGGCTCTCCTAGAAGCCTCTGCAGCAATCATAGCAGTTTTCCATAGTACTAGTTGGGAGGTTGCTTCCAGTTGGACTAGGATTGAGGCAGGGAAACTGCAGGAACCCCATGAAAAAGAGCCGGGTTTTTTGTTTTGTTTTGTTTGTTTTTAAGGTTTATTAGAGAGACAGCACGAGCGGGAGGGGGAAAGGGAGAGACTCCTGAAGCGGACTCCCCGCTGAGCGGGGAGCCTGTTGCCGGGTGAGGCGGGGCTCTATCCCAGGACTCAGATCATGGCCGGAGCCAAAATCAAAATCAGGCGCCCCCAAAGCCATTTTTTCCCCTTTGCTTCTTTTCCAGCTTCTTTTCTTGCTAGGACCTGCACCCCCACCCCACTCTACACATGCTTCCTGATACAAAAAGCATATGTCCTCCTTGTAAGGGACAAAGAGGTAAGCCTCTTTGGAGGCTTCCAGTACAATAGGTGATACCTAGGGAATGACCTGACAGAACCATCATGTGCCTATTTCAGACCACTGGCACTGGATATCTCCAGGCCAAGACCCCCTGGCTTCAGGGAATGAGTGACTTATGAAGGACACCTGGACCCTATCCTTGTTCTGACTAGTTCCTGGATGCCTGAGAGGACACGTGCACCAGACCCCAAGAAAAGACGAGACTCATGCTCTTTTCCTCTCCAAGTCTCCAGAACACTCAGTCCATCTCTCTCTCTGTATATATATATTGGCTCTCTGCACCCAACCTGCCTGCATCAGGATCTCAGCCCACGGCTCCTCTCCTGAGTCTCCCTTTCCTGCATGGGACTCAGAAATCACTCACATTTGCACAAAGAAGTAGGATTTACCAGCCCTGCCACTTGCATCATCCCACTGAATCTTCGACTCCTTTCACAAAAGAAGTGGCCTCGGCAAGGTGAAGGATTTCACCCAAGCCACACAACTGGTTAGCAGTAGAGCAAAAACAAAGTTCATCTTATCCCAAAGCCCCCCCAGCAAATGTAGAAACCCCTTTATCCTTTTAGGCTTTTGTTTTCTTGATAGCACAGCTTCATTTGACACCGTGTTTATTTTATTATTTACATGCTCCAGTAGAATGTACTTTCCTCCCCACAAGAGCAGAAACTTTGCTTTGTTTTCTGGTTCATTCCAAAGTGCCTGACATTTGGAATGAACAAATGAGTGACTAGGAATGAACTTTGAGCTGAGATCCGATTGAAGTTAGGAAGCAAGCCATTAAAAATCAGTGGAGAGCATCCTGGATGGAGGGGATAGCTAAGGCAAAGCCCCAAAGCAGGAGGATACTAGAAATGCCAAGGAGCCACCGAGACTGGATGGAACAGCACTTGCATGGGAGACAACAGTGAGAGATGACATGAGGTGGGAAGGTTGGATGCAGGTCACCTAGAGCCTGAGTCTGCAGTAGGACTTTGGATTTTATTCCGAGACTAATGTGAAACTATGGGGGGGTTTTTTTTTTTTTTTTTTTTTTTTTAAGATTTTATTTATTTATTCATGAGAGACAGAGGAGGAGAGAGAGAGAGGGAGAGAGAGAGAGAGAGAAGCCGAGGGAGAAGCAGGCTCCCCGCCTAGCAGGGAACCCGATGCGGGACTCGATCCCAGGACCCTGGGATCATGACCTGAGCCGAAGGCAGACGCTTAACCATCTGAGCCACCCAGGTGCCCCTTTATTTCTTTTTTTTTTAACAGCTTTATTGAGATATCTTAGACATATAAAAATTGTATATATTTAAGGTGTACAACTTGAGGGGCGCCTGGGTGGCTCAGTCAGTTAAGTGTTTGACTTCGGCGCAGGTGGTGATCTCAGGGTCCTGGGATCTAGCCCTGCATCGGGCTCCCCACTTGGGGGACGGGGGAGGGCGGTTTGCTTGTCCCTCTCCCTCTGCCCCTCCCCCTGCTTGTGCTCTCTTTCTCAAAGAAAATCTTAAAAAAAACAAAAGGTGTACGATATTTGGATTTATGTACACATTGTGAAAAGATCACCACAATCAAGCTAATTAACACATCCGACACCTCTGCGTAGTTCGATTGTGTGTGTGTGTGTGTGTGTGTGTGTGTGTGTGTGGAGAATAAGGGAGAGTTTTGAGCAAAGGGGTGACAAGGTCTTACATTCTTAAAAGATTGCTCTGTATACCAAACATCTGCTGAGTTTAACGAATGAATGAAATCTCCTAGATGGGCCCCCTCCCCCAGACCATAGAAATGGAGATGTGACCCCTTCCTCAGTCAAGAAACATTTATTTGGATCAGAAAGGAGTCTCTAGGGCTCTGGGCTGGGAAGGCCGCTGCCGCCGCCGCGGGGGTGTCAGGCCTGGGACCCAGCAGCCCGGACAGGCTGGGAGGGGCACTTCCTCTTGCTGAGGTTGGTGAGGATCTGGTCCTGGTTGGACCGGTAGAGAACCACAAAGCTCTCTGCAGGAAGGACAGGCCCTCTGTTCTCTTCCACCTGGCCCATCATCAGATAACTGGCTCCTGGGGGAGGAGAAGGAGGGAGCGAGAGTGTGTTATTGAGACCTTGTAGACGTACCTCCTTGTCAGAGTCCTTCAGATTCTATCATTTTCGTGAGGCTACGTCCTCTCCCCATTTTGCCACATCCGTTACCTTTCTTCATGGGGGGGCACTGCTTGCAGGGCACATAAAACTTCAGGGGGGTGTCAGTGAGTGGAGAGGGCAGGTCCAGGCCTCCAGTTTTATAAGCACCAATGAGACTGACAGTGACAGTGAGGCCCTCTCCTGGGCCCCGAACCATGGACTTCACTGTTGCGGTCACCACTGTGAGAGAATGGGGGTGAGAGGTGAGGAGACAGGAGGCCAGCTCAGGGCTGGAGCCAGGACGGGGGACTTTGAGGACAGGAGGGGAGGTTAGAGCTGTTGGCCAGGGGGGCTTCTTACCCAGGCTGCTGGAACAGAAGTTGTTCTGCAAGGTGCCTGTCCGGCGGCATTGCTTTGGGCAGGACACAGCGGGCACGTCTAGGAGGGAGAGAAGGTGCTGTTTGTGGAGGGGGACCCACCCAGCAGGTAGGAAGGGCCACTTTCCTCATAACAGCTTCACTGATTTCAATTCATTCAGAGCTCTATCCAGCGTTGGGCCCCAGCACCCAGTACCAGACCTCAGTACAGAGCACCAGTGAGTGATGTATGAATGAATGAATGAGTTTGGAAAGGAGGTCTCTTTGAAACGCTCTCTTCAGTCTGTGTCCCCTTCCTTCCCCTTCCCAGACTCACTGGGGGCCCCCGGAGTTGCCTGGGCCTCAGAGGAGGCCTTCGGTTTTTCCGCAGACGGGAGTCCCGGCTTGGGGAGCGCGGTACCTGGCCGGGCATCCTCCCCCTGGCTCCGGGCCTGCCCTTCAGCACCTCGCGGCAGGGTCTTGTAGGAGGCGGAGAAGCCGTCCGCCGTGACACTGAGGTCGGAGACGAACTGGACGAGGAGCTCGTTCCCTTCGGAGGAGATGGGACTGCAGGTGGCGGGGCACCGGGGGAAGCGTCAGGGGGGCCTTGTCATCTCCGCCCTGGCTTGGCTGTACCAGCTTCCTGACTTCGCAGGACCTACTTGCCTCTCGATCCGCGGACCCGTCCTGGTGCCAAGCCAGGTCTCTTGCCCGGTCCCATACTAGTTCCGCCCACCCGTTTGGGGCTCACGGGTTCAGATCCCGCCTCTTCAGCTAGGCCTGGCCTCTCCCCACCCCCCACCCCCACTCCCTTCCCTAGAGAGGTGGAGACGCCCGGACCCACCAACCCCCGGTCCTTCCCCTCACCCCGGGGCCGTGTCGCCGCAGAACTTCCCCAGCCTTTTAGCGTCATCGCTCACGGCTCCGTTGAACACGCTGACCGAGTCGTAGCGGCAGTAGGTGTCGGGCTCCAGGTCAAACTTCCCGAAGGTCAGCGAGATCACCTGTCCGCCGGGAGAGAGGAGGCTGCGCGGCGGGACCCGGGGCGGCTCGAGGGCACAGAAGCCCTGCACCCCTGGCCTCCTCCGGAAGCCCGGAAGCTTGCGGCAGCCTCCTCTCCCCCCTCCCGTGTCCCCCGGAGCCCCCTCTTAAAGCATTCACACCACCGCTCCGAGGGTCACACGCCCAGGGGAACCCTTCGGCAGCATCTTCCGTCTTGGGCAAGGTCTAGTCCAGGCTCACGCTCAAGGAACAGACCCAGCATCACCTTCAGCGCCACCACATACACACACAAAACACCGTTTACAGATCAGCATTGTGTACCTCGCTCTCCTAAGACTCGTCACAGGTGTGATTTTACATTTTTTGTTTGAGTGCAAGCAGTTCTGGGTCTGTTTTTGCTCCCTAGCGCGAGCTCAGTGGTCGGGACATAGCAGATGGTCAGTAAATCTTTGCTGGCTGCATGCTGGAGAACGCCGCCTGGGTCCCCGAGGGTGGCCCGGGCAGGGGGTCGGTACCTGGTCCGGGGGCGCGATGATGTGCCAGGAACAGCTGATGCCCGGGGGGTAATCGGACTCGGGCCAGTTGGGCGTGGTCAGGGTTCCCTGGGCCTTCTCCAGCCGCCCCCCGCAAAATTGGTGCTCTGGGGAGGGGAGAAAGGAGTGGGGGTGGGAGGCGGTGGAGACCCTCGGTCAGCTCGAAGAGAGCTCTAGGCTGGAAGCCTGTGCTGGAAGCTCGGACGTCTGGGTCTCAGCATGAGGGGACGAGAAGAGGGGTAGGGAAGGGGGAGGTGTGGTTAGCAGAGAGGGGGCTTGGAGGAGCAGGGCTCAGGGGAGTCTTGGACCTCCGGGCGCCCAGGCAGGCGGTGGAAGGGGGAGGAGGCATTGGCTGGACACGCTCCCTTCTCTCCCCTCCCCCTGACCCGCGACCACACCGCTCCTCTTCCCCTGGGAGATCCCATCTCCCCGGTCCGGCGGAAGAGTCCCCTTTGCAGGCTGCGGAAGCCCTCACGTTGTGAGGGTGCCCTCAAATTGGGGCACAGCCCCAGAGGCCTCTTTGGGGAGGTCTCTGTCTTGAACATTAAAATGTTTAATGGGGAGACTTCGGCCGCCAGGAGGGGGTGATGGGACCGCAATCGGGAGCCCCGGGCTGGGTGTAGGGTGCTCCGGGTCGGGGGAACCTAGTCCCCCAGCCCGGGGGTGCCCCCCCCTCACGCCCGTCTGAGGGAGCCCGATTGCGGACGGGGGCGGGCAGTTACTCACCGTCCCAGTAACCCCAGGCCGCCCATTCCACCCGCGGGTCGGTGACCCATTTCCGCCTCGCGCCTGGGGGGGGGCCTGGAAGAGGGGGTGGGTGGGAGCGGGAGGGGGGGAGAGAAGACGGGGAGGAGGGACTGAAGGGGCAGTTAGTGAGGAAAAAGGGTAAGGGAGGTAATGGGGGCCCTAGGCTCTCGGGCGCGGGGTTTGGCTCGGGGTGGAGGTTAAGGCTGGGGGCGGGGCCTGCGCCGGGGGCGGGGCCAGGAGAGGGGGGAAGGCGGAGGTGAGGGAGGTCTCACCAGTGCCTGAGGTGGCCCTCCCGCTGTACCAGAGCAGGAAGCCTCGTCCTCCCGTGCCCTCGTCCGCCGTCATTCTTAGGGTCACCTGGTTGCCGGGGGCGACCAAGGGCGCAGGCCGGAAGGTCCCGCAGAAGCGTCCAAGCCGCTGGCCCGAGGTTCCAGACCCGACAAAGACCTCCAGGGCATCATAACGGCAGGCCGAGTGCTGCTCCAAGTCGAAGACGCGGAAGGAAAGGGACACAGTCTGGCCCTCAGGGACCTGAAGGCGGGGACAGCGAAGAGGACCTGCAAAGTCAGGCCACTCAAAACCCAGGCGGAGGGTACTTCTCTTTCCCCAAGCATCTCATACAGAAACCGGGCCAGAACAGGAAGGGACCCCATCAGAGTGCAGAGCAGAGGGCCTGGGCCCTGCAGCAGCTTGTGGCTTGCTCAGGGGACAAGACCTGAGGGCAGGAATGGAGTTCGGAGTGGACGAGCGGGCCCTGCGTTAAGGGTGTGAGGACACTTTGCCACGTGTTATTGTGGGCACTGCCACCCTCAGTGACCAGAGGGGACGGGCTTGGACTCCCCTGGGAGAAGGGGTGGTGCAGGGACCGGAGTGGGGAGCAGGGGGTCGGCAGACTGGGGTTCCCTTAGCAGCCAGGCCTGGGAGACTTCAACAAGGGGGTAGTGATCAGAAGGGCCTTCTCACCGTTATTGTCCAGATGCACTCCTTATTGGGCGGGTAGAGGTTGGGGAAACCCTCACTTGCCACGTAACCTGACTCCCCGGTCACATCCCCTCCACACAGGAACACGGGTCTGGAGAACAGAAGAGGGGTCAGCCATGAGTGGAGGAGAGCTTGGGAAGGATAGGGTACTGAGGATGGGGAGGGGGGGCAGGGAGGGAAGCCAGGGGGACAGAGGAGGAAGGCCTAGGGGATCTGGGGCAGCCTCAGCCAGCCAGACCGGGATTGAGAGGATTAGGAACAAGTGGGGCCAGCAATTTGGCTGTCTCCAACACCCCCAAATCTCCACCCCCACCCCAACAGGAATTCCCGGAATCCTCCCCAGGCTGTTCCTCACTCTCCCCCCTCACCCTGCCTGGCAGTCGGGGACAGGAGCCGCCTAACTACTTCCAGATGTGGACACAGCCACGAGGCCATGGGGGGGGAGGGGGCGGAGAGATGAGCAGCAGCAATGATGGCCCTCACGTTGAACGTGGAGACCAGATTTCCCCAGCTCCCAACCTTTGCCCTGCTCCTGTTCCTGCTAAATACTTGAGTATCTGACTCCCAAGTCTCCCACTCGCTCCCCCCCTCCCCCCCCCACCTCTAATTCCCTCCTGGAATCCAGATGTCCAGCTACCAGGCAAGTTCAGGGTCTTGGTGCTCTCAGGTTCCACGGGGGGCCAAGGGTCTGGGTGGATGGGGAGACTTAGGGGACAGGGGACAAAGGGTGGAGGAACGGGGGGGCAGTGGTGACCCGCAGAAGATTGTGGTCTTGCAGTAGGGAGGGAGAACTTGGGGGCTAGGGAAGAGCTGGGGCTGCAGGGGATCTGGGGGGTGGTGTGTTAGTGAAGGAATCCACAGGATCCACAGGCAAAACCCCCAGGAATCAGGGCTTTTGACGCTCACTCAAGCTATCTGGAAGGTGCCAAGAGACCTACCTGGTATAGTTGGGGGTCTGGCCCTGGGCGGAAGGTAGCAGGGCCCAGGCAGTGAGGACCCCCAAGAGGGAGGCTGTGGCAGCAGGCAGCATGGCCGGGGGGGAGAGGCGCTGGGGTCCTCGAGGCGGCAGCTGAGTTTAGCGGCGGCAGCAGCCGGGATAATCAGTGCCAGATGAGGCGGCCTCGGGTGTGTGGGCGTGGGGACTGGCCAGTGGGGCGGGCGGTGGGGAAGGCGGGACAGGGAGAGTTTAGTCGGGACAGTGGTGAGTCCAGGGGCCTCTCTACATCCAGGACACATAAATATTGACCTAAGGAGGGGGTGGAGCAATGAAGGGCAGAGGGAGCATCGACCCTCAGCCATAATGCAGGCATCAAGTACTGTCATCTGGAAGCCCACTCTGCCGGGTGCCCGAACATCCTGCGAACACAGTCTCTGGTCCTTCCTCATGATCATCCCCATATCTGCCTCCTCAGCACCCACAGGAAGTCCTTCCCTTGACCCCCAACATCCAGTCACTCACCCCCTTCCTAACTACCCCCCCCCCGCCCCCGCTCCAGCTTATTTTCCACTTCAAGTTTCTACTGTCTTCTCCCCATCCCTGGGCCAGACTAGGCCAAGGAGAAAATTCTTTCTGCTCACCCATTTTTCTCTCCCAAATATTTGGAGGTATGGGAGTGGGCTAGGGAGGCATGGTATGTGGATAAAGGGAGCCTCCCCCTCATTGAGGAAGAAGAGGATGGAGTAGAAAGTGAGGGAAAGGGACAGCACGTGAGACTAGAGCTGGAAGGTAAATGGGAGGAGGGGAGGAGGGGGCTGGCTCCGCGGGGACCAAGGGAAATGGGTAGGAAGCTCTGTGAGCTCAGAAGCAAGTGGCCTCCTCAGGATGGGAGTAAGTCTGAGGGACAGAGGATCCGAGTACGAGAACCAAGTAGCGTATGTTGACTGCATTGTTCCAGAAGGTGGGGCTTGGACTTCCAAGTCTAGAAGCCTGGGCCAGTCTTGGGAGTGGGAGGGGAAAGCAAACTGAGAGATTTAGGGGGTCAGGTCCGCCGCAGCACCTGAATGCTTGAGCCGCTTCTGCGCCGCCCATCCCCGGCCACTCTCCTGCCCCCTGTTGCCCACCGAGCCGGGCATTGGGCCCCCGTTCCCTGCCCCATTTTCCTCCCAGGCCCCAGGGCTCCAAACCGGGCCTCATTTCAGCCTTTTATTCTATTTGTCCATCAAATCTCTTGTCCATGATAGTCAGATTGGGGCCCCTCCTGGGCAGCCCCCCGAACAATCTTACAAAACAGTTCCAGGTTCATCCTGGCATGTCTAGCAATCTCTCCCCCCGCCCCCCCCCGCCATGTGCACATGTAGTGTTTACTGCTACCATCCCATTTCTCCTTAGCTCCTGGCCCAGGGCCAGACTCTCCCTCCAGGGGTGAGATTAGGAGAGGGGGGTCAGCTCTCAGGGGTTGGGGGGCCTGAGCCAACCCCCGCAGCAGTCTTCTGCAGCAGGTCCAAGGCCTCCCAAAAGAAATCCTTCTGTGCGGCCATCAAGGGCATCCAGCCCACGATCTCCTTCATCTTTTCCATGCGATCCTGCAATGTGGGGCAACTGTGGATCTGGTTGAGGTACTCCTCACAGGCCTGGGCCGCCCCCCCAGGGTCCTGGGATGCTCCGGCCCCCAGGCTGGGCTCGGGGGTCCCCACCACCCTGCTGGCTGGAAGGTCCCGATAGGTGGGGTGGTGCTCGATGTCATGGCTGGACAGCATGTAGAGACACTCTCTGGTAGAGCAGAGGGAACAGGCACACAAAGGGACCTTGGAGGAGAGAAGGGGCGTGGCTGAGTGGGGCCTTTACTGAGGGGCTCCCAGGAAACCCCAGCTGTTGTGTTCTTCCCTCTCAGACCAGCCCCGAGCCAGCAAGTGAGCTCGGACTGGCCAAGCCCCAAGGTTGTGTGAGGTCAGAGAGGGCCAGCAGGGTCTGCTAAGGGAGAGAGCCAGGAGCCGTGGTGTGGGGCTGGGAAGGGAGGCAGGTGGTGCTGGGACGATGGGGCCCCCGGGTTCCTGCAGGAGCCCCGGCTACGTTGCTATACCACCTCGCTCTATTGCTCCTGCCCTCCCTGGTTGCCTGCTTGTCTGACAGTGCTCTGACCTTGACGTGGAGCTTCACGAAGGAGGCACTCCCCTTAGGCCAGCCAGGGAGGCGGCCTCCAGCCCCACAGCCGCAGCCCAGAAGCTCCTTGCTGAAGTCCGAGCCCTGGCTCAGCACCAGGGAGTGGTTGAGGCCACACCACAGGGCAATGGGGCGTTGCAGATAATGCACCTGAGGACACAGGGCCAGGATCCCTAAGGTGGGAACGCCAAGGATTTGGGGGCCCAGATAGGACAGGAAGGCCCAGGGAAGAATCTAGGGAAATGAGGAGAGGAAAGCGAAGGGACTCAGCATCCCCCCACCCCACCCGCCACCCAGCCAGGAGGGAGACCAGCAGCAATCTCTCCCTCCTTGGTTCTCCTGCAGCCCCAGTCGGACTGCACAGGGTCTAGCACTTCTGCTGGTTCCTCATCTTTGCCCCCCAGAAAACAGGCTACTGGTCTGAGCCCAGGGTCGGCTATCTGCTCCCTCATTGTCACCCCAGGCCTGTGCCAGGCCAGCCTGTCATCCTGCCTTCCAGCCCGAGGGGGAGGGCTATCCTTCCTCTTCCCAAAGTTGAAAGACTCCCTCCCTGTGCCATTCCAGGTCAGCCCCCAGGAAGGACTTTCCTTCCACTCACTCCTCCCTTCTCTCTCCGGCATGTTCAACTTGTTCTATCCCTCTCTTTCAAACTGGCGACCCTATTTTGAAAAACAACATTGCCACCTGATTCCTGCGGCTTCCGATGGCTGTCTTTTAGGCAGCAGAACTGGTTACATGACCAGTCTGGGGCTGACCCCATTCTTGTTCTCACCACAGCCAGGCTTTCTCTGCTTACTAAGCTACTGACATGTTCTCTCCAAATGCACTTGACCTCCCAGCTGCCAAATCCCAGGGCCTCTCCTGCACACTTCCTCCTGAGATCATGAGGGCTTTAATTTTGAAGATACAGATTAAGTAATTTATGGTCATTATAGAAAAATTATAGGGGCGCCTGGGTGGCTCCGTTGGTCAAGCGGCTGCCTTTGGCTCAGGTCATGATCCTGGAGTCCCGGGATCGAGTCCCGCATCGGGCTCCCTGCTCGACGGGGAGTCTGCTTCTCCCTCTGACCCTCCCCCCTCTCATGTGCTCCCTCTCTCATTCTCTCTCTCAAATAAATAAATAAAATCTTAAAAAAAAAAAAAGAAAAATTATAAAATATTGGCGAGCAAAGATTAATTTAAAAATCACTGGCAAGGGGCGCCTGGGTGGCTCAGTCGGTTAAGCACCCAGACTCTTAATATTGGCTCAGGTGTTAATCTCAGGATCGTGAGATCGAGCTCCGTGTTGGGCTCCACGCTGGGTATGGAACCTACTAAAAAAAAAAAAAAAAAAATCACTGGGAATCCCACCACCTACTGTGAATATCTTGCTGGATATTCTTCTTCACTGCTGCTTGTGTGTGTGTGTGTGTGCGTGTGTGTGTGTATGTATAAATTGTATATATATATTTTTAAATTGTATATTTTTATCCCCAAAATGGGATTGTATTATATAAAATAATTTCACACTTTTTTTTTCACCGAAAAATATGGCCTGACCATCTTTCTGTGTCAGTAAGTATAGTCCTGCATTATCTGTCACCATGAGTCACCCCCTCCTGTTTGAAACTCTCTGAGCCCACGGCTTCTGGGATTTGGCATCTGAGGGTGTGCCCCTCCAGTCTCAGAGATGGCCTTTTCATGCCCTCTGCCTACCACATCGGCTCCTGCCCGGGCTTTGCTCCTCTATCCCTACTTCTGTCCGTGTCAGCCTTGTTCTGACATGGGATCTAATGGCAAGGAGACATTTCCACTTTAGAAAAAGTCCAAATTCATGCCCTGCCTCTTTCCTCAAGCCAGCCTCCCTTCCACGTTCGTAGGCATGCCATCTTTCTTCAAGGGGTCTCGCGCCAGAGCCCCTTTTGTCCTCAGGGCCTTCTCCTCACATCTCAGCAGGGCCTGTTCATCTCCTTCCAAAACATCTCCGGGATCCATTCTTTTGGGTCCTCACTGCCCCCGGCTCTTGTCTCAAGTGCTGTCGGGGCTCCACAGTCTCCCAGTGGGCTTCTCATTCCGCAGCCTCCTGTTCTCAGTCATCCGTGGGGGTTACGTTCTGCTCCCGAAACCTGCAGTGACTCTTTCCCAAAGCTATGCTTCTCCGGGCTCACCCCCACCTGCACCGCCTCATATCTACCGGTTTCTGAAACGCTGTCTCTGCTTTAGGCATGTGCAAGCTGCGTTGTTGTCCCCACTATGCAGAATGCCTCTCCCTGTGCCCACCCGAATCCGATCTAAGCCACCAGGACCTGATCACATCTCACCTCTTCTGGTTAGACCAGCCCCCCCCACCCCAGTCTCCCTGCTTCACTGAATTCCTTTTTTTTTTTTTTTAAGATTTTATTTATTTATTTGAGAGAGAGAGAGAATGAGAGATAGAGAGCACGAGTGGGAAGAGGGTCAGAGGGAGAAGCAGACTCCCTGCTGAGCAGGAAGCCCGATGCGGGACTCTATCCCGGGACTCCAGGATCATGACCTGAGCCGAAGGCAGCCACTCAACCAACTGAGCCACCCAGGCGCCCTAAGTTCCTATTGCACCTACAGCAAGTGCTGCACAGAACGGACCTCATAGTGCCAACCCTGGGAAAGACATGCCTGCCCCAGTAGTACCACAGGCCTTACGCACTGGTTGGCTTAACTTCCCCAGGGAGTAAGGGGTGGATTCTAAAGAGAGTGGGGAATCGGAGGGATCCGGGGGTTAGGGAATTGGAGGAAGGGGGTGAGGGTGAGAGTAACTGAGAAATAGTCTCACCTGTGTGGGTTCCCCCCGGTCCATTCTGTCCCCTGTTCCCAGCTGCCCGTATCTGTTATTTCCCTGCATGAAGAGTCGGCCAAATTCATCCACCAGGCCAAGGTGATTGTAGCCAAGAGCGCAAAATAGGATCTAAGAAGTAAGAAAGAGGAGGTGGGCATTCAGTTCCCTCCAGAGGAACGCTGAGCTCCGGAATCTCCCAGGTACTAACCTGCCATTCCCAGCTGACTTCTTTTGGCCTTGCCCGCTGGCCTTGCCCGCTGCCTCGCCCCTCTCTCTGGGTCCCCTGTCCCTCCCTGAGCAATCATTTGATCCCTGCTCATGTTTCAGACCTCTGGTACCTTTCAAACCCTAACCCACCCCCA